TTTTCCTTTTCACAGAAAGTTATCACATTTACTAAAAAATCTCAAGTAAACATTTATTTTAGACAACTTTCATGGAAATCTGAGGCAGTAAAGAATATTAAAATGTTACATTGCAATGCATAAACTATTCCAGAAGTTATAGTACCCTCAAACCCTACATGATATTAATTATATATTATAAATTATTGCATTGTCAATAATTAAAATGCAGATAACCCATACCTCAATGTCTCTTTACCTTATCTAAAACATATTTTATGTTTCTCTGGATTTAAGGAATTTAATCTCAACTTTATGTGAATTTTGCTGGCAATGTGAAATATATCACCAAGGTCTGCTCCTATGGTTTGGTCTCCAAATTTTCTGGACCCCATCCCTCTCGCACTAAGACAGATCACATTTTTCATCGCATTATACTTATAGGAAGTAGTACTTACAGGAAGTAATCCTCCCTCCATTCTTCTGGCTTTCCCCCTCCATTTTTGTTTTGAACATTGTAAATATAATTTCTAAAGGAATATTTTACTTAAGTCATTTCTCTGTCCAAAAAAAAAAAACCAACATATACTCTAATACTATTTCACTAACTCTTCTCACAAAGACTTTGTGCCCCAGGTTAATCAGCTCTTCTTGAAATCAACTTACAATTCAGAGGTTGCCAACCTGTGGGCCTGGGGTTATAGATTATAAGAAAGAATAAGTGAAACCACCATATATTCCAGAAGCACTGTCTGATACTGAATGATTAACACACTGAAAATGTCTGTCTATGCATATGTATATCTGTGTATGCATATGCAATTGCATATACTATGTTTAAATTTATTTGATTAATCAAATAAAACATTTTATTAAATATGTAATAGTGTTTCTGAACTCATAATAGTATTTTTAGTCACGTTTCATTTTCCCAGTAGACACCAAATATACAACTACTATGACGTTAAAGTCCTAAAAGTTTTTTGAAATTAAAAGGGGGCTCAATATTTTAAGTTCTATTACATTCTATTTCATCAATTGACCTCACAATACAAATACTATGCTGCCAATCCAGGTACCTCCCACACCAAAGCAATATCAACATATACTGCGTTAATAAAGTAAGATTTCCTGACCATCAACCCACACTTTAAACATTAATGGGTCATCAGTTTCATCCACCTAAGGTCAGTAATATTTATATTTTAATTCAACTCACTTTTTATTCATAAAATGTTAAGCAAGTAAGAAAAAAAGCATTAAAGTTATTCCTAAAAGCCTCTGTTACTTAACTCTGATAGATCTGGAAGTTGCTAACAGTACACTCATTAGCACTGGTGGAAAATTACTTGAAAGCATCTCTAAACCAAAAATGAACAACAAAAAAATTTAAACATGAATTGAAACAAATGTTTAGAACACAGGGCTCACCATTTCTTATGTTCAGATATGTAAGGAGAGCCGTTATTTCACACTGTACTAGTAAATTTACTACCTTATTGATTTTAGCCTATTTATTGCTTATTAATACTACCTATTTCACTTTATCCATCAAAAGTAAAAGTGGGAGACATTCAATGCAATCAGTCAACTCCTTGAGTAAATAATAATGAAAAGTAATGTATTCGATGGATATAAGACGTCAATATTTTAAAAACCACATGTCAAAAGTTGATTCCATTCAAAAATCATTCCAAATGTGTTCAATTATCCTTAGAAAACTGACCTAAACCCTAAAAATACATCTCACATAGTAGGTAAGCTCTGTATTTATGAGAAGTGAGTCTATTACTAAATGTCTATGGTTGTACAAAGAGCACACCCAAAGATAACTCAGACACACGTAACTTGTAAGATCGGGGTGACCTATTTTCTGTGTAGCTCTAGTAAACATGCTTTCTGTAGAGCCATGTGCTGCTAATCTCTGTGTTCTTCCTGTAAATAACTGCACTTATTCCTCAGGGTTTGACTTAGGCATCACTGAACCCAAAACCCTGAGACCGAGTAAGGTGACCTTCCTGTGGGTTCCATTAGCATCTTGTACCCAGATACCACTTATGACATGTAAATGAAGATTGATTTTCTGTCTCCACTCCAGACATGAAAGTTCAACAACAGTAGGGAGTGTGTATTATTCACCATTTAATCCCTAGAGCCTAAAACTTACTAGATGCTCAATTAATACTTGTTAAATGAATAATTAACAGCTATTCAAAAATTCACAGAACACATATGAAATTTGAGAGAGAGAGAGAATCCTTTCTAACTGAAAACCAGTAAATCTCCAAACTGACTCAAACTCTGCTCCTTCTCAAAATATAAAACCCACAACACTGTTTATAGGTTATGTTGACTTGTAATTAACTTTAAGAGAAAGAAACTCTCCTAGAAATCTATCCAAACTCATTTTTAGAATCTATTCACATTTAATTTTCTTCAGTGATGGAAAACAACTGAATGGCATCCTAATTAATAATAATAAACAGTAAAAACCACTGGTTACATCTACTGTACACTTACAGAGGATGCTGTTCAAAGAACATTTTAGCTATCTCCTATAGTCATTATAAAGATGATAGCGTAAGGCAAGTACAATTACCTCACACATTCTGCAGCTGAAGATACTGAGAGACAGGTATTATGCCAATAATGGACCCTGGCCACATACCCTGTAAACCCCCATGGGTATAAATACCATTCTGGTGTTTCTGATGCTGTTAAACTGATTCTCTTTGACAAACAAGTAATCAGTATTGGGCAGGCGGCAGGCACACAAATTAAACCACTGGGATTTGAGGGAGGGGGGCTCGTATTTTTTTTCTTACAAAAGCATGACTTAGCTTGTCCTGACTCACCCAGGAAAGCAAGTCAGCTTCATTTCAGGTGCACTTGATTGGCAGCAGCTCCTTGGAACAAGGTACTGAAAAAATACCGGGAGACTACGGAAAAATCAGAGAGGAAAGCCACGCACGGAATGTCAGCATCTCCGTAAGAATGAGAGATAGGCTAAATCCTGACACTCAACGTAGGGCATATGTTTTATGCAGATCGAGGCCTATGAACTGAAAGACTGGTGGTACACTTCAGTCACCAAGTCCAAACCGCCCCCAGTGAGCCCTCAGAGTTGCAGTGTAGTTCTCTAGTGCTACTAACTTTAGCTCCGCTCTGTTCTCATCTTCCTTACCGCCAAGGTGACTGTCTTATCCCCACACTAAACCCTGAATGACAATAATTCCCAGTAAAGCAATTTCTGCTGCAGGCTTTTAAGGCATGACCTTGAAAATGTATATCTAACAAGACAAAAAATTATTATTCACAACATCAGAATTTCCCAGATTAATTACTTGAGTGTTTACTGATTAGTTTTTTAAATGTTCTGGCTAAAAATAAAGTATCATTTTCCATTAGCTCTTTTCTAATGGAGAACTTCAGAAGTACAAAATAGTATGAAAGTATTATAATAAACACCCATGTTTCAACACGCAACTGAAAAATAAATTATTACATACACAGGTGAATTCAACCAGGTGGGTATCCAGCCCTGATTTTATTCTGTTTGCTTCCCTGAAGCAGTAGTAATCATTCTGCTGAATTTAGAATTTATCATTCAAGGGCACTTTTTCACAACAATATTACACGTCTATATTCTAATACTAATTACAGAATTGTTTTTCATATTGTAAAATGATATAAATGGTATCATATGTTTACATATGTTTGTAATTTTTTTTTTGCCCAACACTATGTTCTTGGAATTTATTCTTGTTGATATGTATGGTTATATTTTCACTGTGTGCAGTATAACCTTGTTTGAATATAGTACAATTTGATTATTAATTTCCCTACTGACAAAATTTTGAGATCCTTTTTTGTTTGTATGTGTTTTAAATAGAGTTTACTTTTTAGAACAGTTTTAGGTTCAAAACAAAATGGAGCAGAAAGTGCAGAGTTCCCATATACCCCCTACCACACACACACACACACACTTCGCACTCACACATGTGCGCGCGCACACACGGAGCCTTCCACACCAGAGTGGTACATTTGTTACAATCAGTGAACCTACATTGAAACATTATTATTACTACCCAAAGCCTATAGCTTATGTTAGAGTTCACTCTTGGTGCTGTCCATTCTATGGGTTTCACCAAATGTACAATGGTGTGTATCCACCATTATAATATTACACAGAATAGTTTCACCACCCTAAAAATCTCTGTGCTCCACCTCTTCATCCCACCTTCCCTGTAACACCTGGTAACCACTGATCTTTTTACTGTCTCCATAGTTTTGCCTTTTCCAGAATGTCAGAGTTGGAATTCTATAGTAGGCAGCCTTTTCATATTGCCTTTATTCTTAACATGAAGTAGTAAATTAACTATCACTGAAAATGCATGGGACCAATTCCACCTTCAATCTGTATAGGATTAAGCATTATTACAGTCACAAATATGAATACTTACTCTGGTAACATTAAAGACATTAAATTAATTTCTTGAAGCAGGAAGACAATGCCTGTGCATTCATTGGAAGATACAGTAGGAATTTTTTTTTAAAAAGCCAAATTAATTTGTGCACTATCAACATTGACACACCAATATTAATTAGGTCATCATTCCAAAGAAGGAAAATCAGTCAAAAATCAACCAACATCTATTAATCATCTACTTCCCTTGAAAGTGTTATTATGCACTTGAGATACAAGACGGATGAGATGCTGCCTCTGCCTGCAGGTGCTTTCCTGCTCATTATTTCATAATAGTTTCAGAAAGTAAATTTAAAGGGTCATGTGATTTAGCAACAAGAGATGCAGTAGAAAAAGCAATTCATTATGCTTGAATGGGGGGAAGGGGGTTATTTTTCCAGGGAGGAGGGGGATGCAAATAAATGCAGGGGGGCCTCACAAAGGAAGAGATACTTGACAGCTGCCTAGAGGGTGAGCAGGCTTCCCTCAGGAGAAAAAACTATGCAAGTGTGTTTCAGGAAGGGAGAGAACAGAGCACACCCAAATGCAAGCTGTCTCTCAGTAAACTCAATCAGACTGGACTGACTGTATCCCCAGGGAAGTTTATGCATGTCCAAATACACAAACCAGCATGGAAGGACAAAGATTCACTCCCTGATCAAATTTTCATCAGGCTCCCCCAAATCCTCTTCTCCACGAGGCCTCAACCTTGGCCTAAAAAACCCACAGACTCTCAACAAAAATGATTTTGCCCATCCCTGACCCCTACCCAATTCACATTAAAAGACTTAAACACTAACATGTTTTCTAATTGCTGAAGGCCACATCCTTAGAATGACTCTAACCAATCCCCAACCAGAAAGGGCCTGCATAAGAAAGCTGAAGGCTGCCAAAAGAATTTCATTTGCCTTAGCATTTACTAAAAAGGCCTGACAACTGTGACTCCTTCCTCTGTCCCTTTCAGATAGACTAGTATCTCCTACAACTCGTGAGTGTCTTTCCTAAGTACCTGAAAGCCATGCCTTTGAAATGTGATTGCCAGGAAGGATGGAGCCCCTGTCTCCAAGTCGCTTCAATACTTGCCAGCCAGCAGACCCAGCTGGCCACATCAGCATTTATATCGAGGACCCCTTTGTAATGTTTCACTTCTCAGATGTTGACAATTGATACTGAGTTCAGTTTATGCTGGGCTCTCCTCCCCACTGCAATAGTATAGTACTGATTAAAATCTGTCCTGACCATTTTAACTACTGTCTGGCTTTGCTTACCTTTGATAGTAACAGAACAGGAAATAATGCAATCCATAGTCCTAAAGCCTTCAGTAGCTCTCTTTGTCTTTCAAATATAGTCCTGCTGGTTGCTTGGCATTTGAAGCTCTGCCTGAGCCCAGCAGAACAATTGGGAATTCCCAGAGGCTGTTTCTTCTCTGTCCTTTGTCCTCATCCTCCTTATGACATGAATCCTTCCACATCACACTCTATTCACCTATTTTTATACTGAACTCATTTATTCTCCCCTTCATTCATATGTCAAACACATTCATTAACTGATTAACTACCATCTGTCAAGACTCCCCACTTAAAGTCCATGCCTCTACTTTCATAAAGCTTCACTAATAGCTCCAGCCAGAGTGTCTTCTTTCCCAACTGAGGATAGGGTAAGTACATTTAACCTACAGGCAAAAAATTTTTCTTCTATTATATCTTTGACTATTGCTCCTATAGTATGCATTCTAGCAATTTCATCGGGAACATATTGTCCATATATTATATTATGGATAGACCACATGATAGTCCACAGGCCAAATCTGGCCCACTGCCTGTTTCTGTACAGCATGAACTAAGAATGCCTTGTACATATTTTAATGGTTGGAAAAATCATAAGAAGAATATTTTATAAACATAAAAATCAAGAAATTCAAATTTCAGTGTCCATAAATACACTTTTTTTGAAACGCAGCCATGCTCATTCATTTACATACTAGCTATAGCTGTTTTCATGCTACAATGTTTCAAGAGTAAATAGCCCTAACAAAAAAATGTATTACCAACAAAGCTGAATGTATTTGCTATTTGGCTCTTTACAGAAAAAGCATGACAACCCCTGTATTAGATAACTATTTGCTGCAGTGTGTTCATTCCAGTGATGGTTAAATAAGAAAAGTATCATATGATATCACTCATATGTGTAATCTGAAAAAAAAGAAAGGAAAAAGAAGACACTATTGAACTCATCTATAAAACAGAAATAGACTTGCAGACAGGTAAACAATCTTATGTTTACCTTGGGGAAAGAGGGTAGGAAGGGATAATTTGGGAGTTTGACATTTGCAAATGTTACCCACTATATATAAAAAGAGATTAAAAAGATTTCCAGTCAAGAGGCGGAGTGGTAGGACCATGAGCTCACCTCTCCTCACAACTACAATGATACCACGATAGAATGCTAAACAACCATCAAAAAAAAGACTGGAACCTAGCAAAAAAGATCTTCTGCAACTGGAAACATAAAGAGGGAACCACAGCAGGAAGGTAGGAGGGGTGTGCTCACCATATAATCAGGCCCCATGCCCCCTGGGTGGGGGGGCGACCCACAAGCTGAAGATTTGTGACGTCCCAGAGGCCCTCCCACAGGAGGGAGAGCTCTGAGCCCCACGACAAGCTCCCCAGCCTGGGTCTTGTGTTGGGAAGAGGAGGAGACCCCAGGACATCTGGTTTCGAAGGCCAGTGTGGCTTGGCTCAAGGAGCCCCACGAGACTCAGGAAAATGGAAACTTCATTCGCTTGGGAAGTGTACATGAAAACTCACGTGCGCCAGGTCCAAGGGCAGTAGCAGTGACTTTGTAAGAACCTGGGCCAGGCCTGCCTGCTGGATTTGGAGGGTCTCCTGGGGATGTGGGGAATGGCTGCGGCTCACCCAGGGGACATAAAAGCTGGTGACAGACATTCTGGGAGTGTTCATCTACATGAGCTTTCCTGGAGGCTGACATCTTGATTGGATCATTAGCACTAAGACCTGGCCCCACCCAACAGCCTTCAGGGAAGCCTCAGGCCAAGCAACATACACGGTGGGAACACAGGCCCACCCGTCAGCAGACTTCCTGAGCCACAAAGGCTTCTAGACACAGCCTTACCCACCAGAGGCCAAGGACCAGGCTTCACCCAGCAGTGGGCAGCCACCAGCTCCTCCTGCCAGGGAAACCTGCATAAGTCTCTAGTCCAGCCTCACCCACCAGGGGCAGATACTAGAAATAAGAAAACAACAATCCCAAAGCCTGTGGAAGGAATCCACAAACACATAGAAAGACAGAAGATGGGGTGGCAAAGGAATATCTCATAGGCCAAGGCACAAGATAAAATCCCAGTAGAAGAAATAAGTGATGAAGAGATAGGCAATTTATCTGAGCAAGAGTTTAAAGTAATGATGGCCAAGATGTTCAGAGAACTCAAGAGGAGTACAGATGCAC